CCCTTGCTATGTTTGTTTGATTTAATGATTGTATGATTACTCTGACTAGTTAAACTTGAGTTCATATCCAATCTATACATGTTTTATGGATCAATTATGTTTTATTCAGATTATTGATTTATGCTTTGAACTATGAGAGAGAATATCAGATTAGGTTGATAGAGCAACATCGATTGGAAGTACGGAATTTATTGTGTGAGAGTGAGTCGATTGATTGCTTTGTATTGGGTGAGAATTCAACCAATAGAGGGATTCTAGTATGGATTTCCTTTATCGCTTGTCTTAGTTGAGAATAGTTAAGAAACCGACTCAAGAGGGTCTTGAGTGCTTTAATAGAGATTTAAGATGCTAAGGTCTCTCTGCATTATGAATGAAGAGTGAAATAAGTTTGAGAATCACCAATCATTAATTCGACTAGCCTCCTACATTGTAATTAGTTAGGTTAGTCTTTTTTGTAGTTTTAGCTGTTTAACCAGAGTCTAATATGCTAAATAATAAAGTGAAGTTGAGTATTAGTAATTTTGGAGCCCATGGGTTCGGTATTTATTATTTGTTGTCACTATATTATAATTCTTTTCATTGGTTACACTTGGCTTATGTTAGGAGTGTAGTCAGTAGTGACCAGGGTGCCAAATCCATCACCCAAATTCCACAAGCAAATGACCTCTATGGGTCTGTTCACCTTCATTCTATTTCTTGTTTGCATTCCAGAAATCCACAATAAAACGAGAAAACTTGTTTACTTTTCATTCTGTTTTTTGTTCGTTTTTGAAAACAGAAAGAGGTAACTTTTTTTTTGTTTCGGGAAACAACAAAATGTTGTTTCCCACCGGTTTCCAACATTTGTTTTCTCATATTTTCAATAAAAAGGATATATTTTTCTTATTGACGAGAAGCAATACATTTATCAAATTCAAAATGAATTCGGTCCCGGAAATGCTCAGATGTAATTAAATTTTCATAAGGATATTGAATACTTACAGGCAAGCGATTTGGGTGAGATAAGGTAATCATGAAACTTTGACCATTGTATCTTGTAGCTCGGATGGTTTGTTGACCATAATGAAATATTTGAATGATATTTTCACAATTATTTTTATACTTTTACTTTAGTTATTTTAGTTATTATATCTTACCTAAAATTTATCTTTTTTACTATATAAAATTGTACACATACAACCATTTGGAACCAAGTGTAAATAATTTATTTCAATTCAAAATGAATTACTATGAAAAATTTATTTAAAAAATATATATGTAGCCTTGGCACCAAATAAGATATGTGTAGGTGGTGATTTAATCATTTAATTAGTAACTAAGGATAGTTATCAATTTAATGTAACAAGCAAAATATTTGTAAAATTCATATAAAACATTCTAACTCACTATCTAGGAATTTCTAAAACTAATTTCAATTTCGCATAATTCAAAATTACTGTTGAAAATTAATGACTTTGTATTTGGAACCCCGGTCGGATCAATAAAATTATGAAAAAATAACTCGATTTTTTGATCGCGTATTTTAACGTGCAATGGATTTGCCGGGCTCAATACATGATTTTCTTTTAGTCTCTCTAGGATTAGTTCTTATATTAGGAGGTCTAGAAGTGGTATTACTTACCAACCCAATTTATTCTGCCTTTTCTTTGGGATTGTGGTTGACCTGTTCACCAAAACCTTCCTTTTGAGTCGTCAATGATACCTGTCTATCAAATTGATTGCTTTGTGAACGACATCAATTTGGGCAGTATATTGACGTATCGAGCTAGGCCATATTTTGCATATATGTAGTTTCCATTTGGACTTGTATTTTGACACATGGGACCACATAGAAAGGGCAGTGGTGGGGGTTAGCTAGGGTGCATGAAAGGTGTATAACTAGCTCTCCTCTAATCTGTAGCCAATGTTCGATTTGAGCGAGTAAGAACTTAACTCGGAGAGTGCATATTCTTCCTGGACTAATCCCAAATCTCGAAAATGCCGCTCATATTGTGTGTATTCGTTTTCGTTTCAGTCATCGTTTACATTGTGATTAAGCTCGATTTGTTAACACATATATGGTGTTTCTTGAACCCAATGTAGGATCTTAGAAGTCCCAATACCAATTGACAGTTGCTCGCTAACAATGGTATACGAAAGCTCCATTATTGTATTGAGCACCAGTTTCCAACCGGTGCATACGGAAGTTCCAATGATTGAGGGGAAAATATCTTAGAGAAACCTATCTAGTTTAGACCGAAATGGTCGTTGTCTTGTCGTCCCATGCATATTAATTAACATACTTATCCTTTGATTGGACGTACAAAATTTGTGCGATTTTTTACATTCCCATCTTCTCCTCTTCATTCTTAGAAAAAGTTAGAAAATGAGACATCGTAGATAACAAAATGGAATGAATATACTTCCTTAAAATAAAATGATCTTACTATAAAGAACTTAATAAGTCATGATACTTAGAAAAAAATGGTTTACGGCAAATAATAAATGAGTTAGTGACAAATAATATGCCTCCTCCTTTATTGTGTGTCAGAAGGTCTAACTTGGCCAACTATTGATCATCCATCATAGTATGTCTCCTCTTTTATAACGTATCAAGAGGTTTAACTTGGCCAACTACTGTACGTATACTGTTCATCCATCTAGGGTAAAATATCTCGGGTGCCACTTAAATTTAAGAATTGGGTAGATATAAAATCGCAAGTTGCATTAGGAAAACATGTCCCTTGTTTATTCTCTGCAAGTTACGTATTTATATACTCTCATAGTTAAAATCGCGCTTTAAAGATTAAAAACTTACACTTTTACGTTTCTAGGTAACCAAAACGCTTTTACGCAGTTTTTATAGCTAATGTAGTTAAAAATGCACATTAAAGTTTAAAAACTTACGATTTTACGCTTCTAGATAGCAAAAACGCTTCTACGTGGAAACGCGCTTCTGACTACATTGTTCATCCATGTATTATGGTTAAACCCAGTGTCGGGCCCATGGAATTTTAGAGGTATCTCGGGACACCGCTAAATTTGGGAAAATGATTATCCAATCCAACTTTTGGTACTAGTTAGTGTATGGGTTAATTAAATTTAAGTGTACAGGACACCGCTAAAATTTGTAAAAACGATTATCCAATCCCTGGTAGTAGTTTGCGTACAGATAAAATAATATTTAAATGGTAGCCTGTGTGATTTTTTATTGTGTTTTATATTCAAATATAATGGTAAAAGTCTATTCCTTATCGCCTACTATTTTTAAAATCTAACGATTAAACCAAATTACAGGCTTTCCTTCTAGTATGATATATCGAGAGATTTCTTGGGCAATGTAGACACCAAATATATTTACAATTTTTACAGAATACGAAACACGCTGTAGGCTTTTGTAACTTATACTAGTCGAATATTTTCTGATTTAATAATTATTTAATTATAAAATTTTAACTAAATTAAATTTTTTTAAAACGATAAAATTTCTAGATGCGGCAAGGTATATGGACTATGGTTAAAGGTATACGAAAGCTCCATTATTGTATTGGGCACTAGTTTCCGGTGCATGTATGGATTATGGAAGCTCCAATGATTGGGGCAAAATATTTCAGAGAAACCTATGTAGTTTAGATCGAAGTGGTCGTTCTCTTGTCCCATGCATATCATTAACCAACTAACTTATCCTTTGATTGGAGGTACAAATTTGCGCGATTAAATCAATTTTGACACTTTCATCTTCTCGTCATCATTCTTAGAAAAAGTTAGAAAATGAGACATACGAGATAACAAAATGGAATGAATATACTTCCTTAAAATATGATCTTATTAAAGAACTTAAGAAGACATGATAATTAAAAAAAAAAATTCCTTCATGTTTAGTTTGGAACCCATGCAACAAAAAAATTATATCTCAACAATAACATTTTAGCACTAAATCTCATCATAACCCTGATGATCAGTAGCTAAAAAGGAATATACCATAAAAAGAGATATAGTTTGTTATCAAATTCAGTAATTTCGGTTTCAACGAATTTGCTAGGTATCTATAAAAATTAAAGTGATTTCAAACGTTTACACCATCATCTCCCATTAAAAAAAGTGGAGAACATCGCATTCCATGACCCTTCACTAAGCATTCTCAAATGTTGTTTTCCAATTTGGATCGAGTTTCTTTTCCAGGTTTTTTGGGTTATAGGTAAAATATATCCTTACATTATTTTATTTTTACATCAAACATGTTCATATACATTGAAAAAATTATCAAACACACTGCTAAAATTTACATCCAAAAATCGTCAATCACAGTTGAACTGAGATTCAGACAACCCAACATTGATAGAATTGGAGGGAAAATGTCAGTTTTCCCCTTCATTTATTTATCTATGTCTTGTTACAGTGAAACTATTTGATCTATTGGGCTATACAAAAGAAACAAAAGAATAATAAAGGCGATTATTGTGAATATTTTAGACATTTTTTCGTCCAAACTAAGGTTCGATCGTGGCTGACAATTTTTTTATGAAAATTTTGTAAAAAAAGCATGTTTGATAATTTTTCTAAGGTAGAAGAACATGTAAAAAAAAATAAAGAGGCAGGTTCAACAAAATTGCATAACATATTATATATGTAACCTTATTTCAAGAAGAAAACCAGGACTAATGGTCATTTTTCAGCACCTTCATGCTCCTCTGTTTCCAGAAATTTTGGATATTTTTAATATCCTTAATAAATATCCCTTTGTTGTCATTTTGTTGTCCCCTCTTTAGTAATATATAATTGATCCTATTTACCGTCTTTCATTTACAATTTACCCTACTATTTACCAAACCTTGGAATGTTCTTCAAATGATGTAGCCTTATTGATTACCCTACTATTTACCAAACCTTGGAATGTTCTTCAAATGATATAAGCCTTATTGATATCCCCTTATAAATAGCTCACTTCTCATTGCTATTAGGCAGCAAGAGAAAGGCAATTGGTGTCTTTCTCTTCCTCAAAACTGCCTTATTGACAACATAAGTACTCCTATATAGGCCTTACAGCCATGGCCACTTCTCCTTTGAGTTCCTTATTGCTCCTTACTATTGTGATCTTGTTACTTGGACAAGGTGGTGTGCATAAGATTGAAGCTTCCCATGAGGTATACAAAGGCTACCAAAGTCTTGAAACAATACCTCCCAAATTCCAGCCATATCGAACGGGCTTCCACTTTCAACCTCCAAGGAACTGGATTAACGGTGAGAAGTTTCACATATCCTTTGATTTCTCGCAAAGATATCTCCAATTCTAATACAAGAAATAATAGTTTTTGTTTCGAAATCCTTTGCTTTATGGTACAAAATACTTATTCTTGAATCGTTTCATGTCCATTGTGTTACAAAGTTATCTCGTACTTTTGCTAACATTGCTATTTTTTTCCTTGCTCGTGGCCACTATTGGATGATCAACTCTGGATTTCCTGCATATGGTTGAAGATCCTAATGGTGAGTTTAAGAAAATCAATAGAATATTTTTGATTGATAACACTACAAAGGGTTTATTGAGAACAGAATATGAAACTAGAGTTTCACTATAACTCTAACTCCAATAGTGACCATTTGTGGATGATAACTAGAAGGCAATAACCCATGCTTATAGAATCCATATCATTTCCCTAAAGTTATTAATTAAAAACTCAATCATTCTCCAGGAATAATGTATACTTATACATAATTACTAATACACTCTCAAAGTTTTGCAGGACCAATGGTTTACAAAGGAATCTACCACTTGTTCTACCAATACAACCCTAAAGGTTCGGTTTGGGGCAACATTGTTTGGGCCCATGCAACCTCCAAAGATCTAGTCAACTGGGAACTCCAACCGGTTGCACTCTCCGCAGCCGAACCAAACATGGACATTAACGGCGCTTGGTCTGGTTCGGCCACAATCCTTCCCGGTGGCAAACCGGTCATTCTCTACACAGGAGTCAACTCAAAGAACCAACAAGTCCAAAACGTAGCCGTACCCAAAAACACATCCGACCCATACCTCATCGAGTGGACCAAACCACCCCAAAACCCTATCATGTCACCCACAACCCAGAACCAAATCAATTCCAGCTCATTCAGAGACCCATCGACCGGATGGTTAGGCCCCGATAACATATGGAGGGTAGTCGTCGGAAGCAAAATCGGGAGACGGGGTGTGGCGATTTTGTACAAGAGCAAAGATTTCGTGAACTGGGTAAAGGATGAGAAGCCATTGCATTCGGCTCACGGGGATGGAATGTGGGAGTGCCCTGCCTTCTATCCGGTTTCTGTAGGAAATCGAAACAGCGTGGACACTTCGAAGAGCAGTCACGATTTGAACGTAAAATATGTGCTGAAAATGAGCTTGGACGATATTAAGCACGATTACTACACGGTCGGGAGCTACAGCTACCATACGGATGTTTACACACCAAACAAAGGGTCGATTGAGAATGGGTTTTCAGGGTTGAGATACGACTATGGCAAGTTATACGCATCGAAATCGTTCTACGATGGTGAGAAGAACCGCAGGGTGTTGTGGGGGTGGGTGAACGAGTCTTCGAGTGTCGATGATGACGTCAAGAAGGGCTGGTCTGGAGTTATGGTAAAGTTGAATGTGCAAACTCCATTTTATGGGGTTTTGTTGGTTGAATATTTGGATTACAATTAATGCATTTGATTATATTTGCAGGCGGTTCCAAGAAGAATATGGTTGGACAAATCTGGAAAACAACTCCATATAAATCCAGTTCAAGAAATAGCTAAGCTTCGTGTTAATCCAGTGAACTTGCGCAATCATGTCCTCAAACCTTCATCGTTACTAAAAGTCCACAATATCACAGCAGCCCAGGTATGGATCAATATTATAAGGCGATTTTTGGTGACCATTCTTGCGACTTAAAGGATTGTAAGAACCTTTTGGTGACCATTTTGCTCACTAATTCACAGGCAGATGTGGAGATCGCATTTGAAGGATTAGACTTGAGCAAAGCAGAAGTGTTAGACCCAAGCTGGATAAGCAAACCACAGGTGCTCTGCAACCAAAACGACTCATCAGTTGGAGGAAGTTTAGGCCCATTTGGGTTGAGGGTTTTGGCTTCCAGAGGCATGGAAGAGTACACCTCGGTGTTTTTCAGAGTCTTCAAGAAGTACACGAAAAGCAACCAACACATGGTGCTAATGTGCAGTGACCAAAGCAGGTTATTACTTCAAATATATGTTATATTTCATTCCTTGCAGCACAGAAGAGGCTTTTGTGACCAGCAGAACGATTGCAATGCATATCCCTTTCAGGTCTTCCCTTGATAAGGATGTTGACAAATCGAATTACGGCGCATTCGTAGATGTGAACCCAGCTCACGAAAAGCTGTCATTGAGAACCTTGGTGGGTTGAACTGCACACCACTTTCCTTATTTGACATGGTTCATCATTTTCTGATCTTAAAATCTGTTTCGATGCTTATGTTAAAAAATTGCAGATCGATCATTCTATAGTAGAAAGCTTTGCAGCAAAGGGGAAGAGCTGCATAACATCAAGAGTTTATCCCAAATTGGCGATAAACAAGGCTGCCCATTTGTATGCTTTCAACGATGGACTTCAGAGTGTGAAGATATCAAGATTGAATGCTTGGAGCATGAAGAGTGTTCAAATCACTGGAAAGCAATGACAGACGTATGGAAGTTTAAGAACAGACTATCCTTTCACAAACCAGTCCTTTTCAACTTGTTTTGTAATTTGTGTTTCTTTCCGACTTGTCATTTTAATGTTTTTTCCTATGTATCCGCTTTATAACGATAGTGTTTGGTCTTGTTGTATTGTTGGAGCCTATAAGAATGATGAAAGCTTTGTTTTTATCTTGGTTATCAGTGACCTCTTTGGATCAAAAAAGTTTACATCTAGTAGGTTTATCAAGAGGAAGGCGTACGACTTTCGGAGGAAGAAAAAAAGAATGAACAATCATACAAATCATACGATTTACATGACTTAATGTCGCATTTATGACACGCCTCTAGATTTCTGATGCAAAAGAAACACCGATTCCGCATGCAAATAGTTAAGAAAGAGTTTGTAAATCGTATCAAAACAAACATCCATAATCTCGTCTCCTAGTAAAAAAACATGGATATAAGCTACAAGGGAACAAAGAAAGCTTTGATTTACCTCATCTCATTAAAAGAAACGTTACTCCTCAACATGCCTGGAAACTGAATTTATAACAGCACACGGAAAAAACAGAGTATCAATGGACTTTATAACACCATAGAAACGAAAGAATCAAAGAACTCTCAACACTACAAGCCTCCCATCGCGCAGACCAATTCAAACTAGGGTTGCCCAAAACGTTTTCCGGCCATCAAATGAGCCGTTCTCAACCAGTAAACTATATGATACGCCTATACATAGATACTAGTGAAGCAACCCTAAGACCGTTATCGTTCATGCAAGTCCACTCCCCTGAAAATCCAGTTGACAAACATGGTAAAAATCAACCCATAACATTGCGGCATTACATCTCATTAAGGTGAATAGTCCACACAGGGTTATGAAAATTTTCGGTACCTTGTGTGTGTTCTATACCTTCTCGGTTTTTGCCCCTTCGTCTTCAGTGTCATGATCAGTATCCTCTTCATGGACCGTGTTGTCGTGATCAGTATCATCACCATCGTTATCTATGTGGTGGCCATAGGAATCAACCTCAGCTGCCTCCCCCGTATACCATGCCACGGCATGAGAAATAATCTTACTGCGAATGGTCGTGCTACATTGCCACAAAAACGAGCCGAAAAAGGCATCTAAGAAGGCAGAAAGGTAAAATAGACAATGCACAACTCTAATACACCATTGACAAGAAGAGTTGGAAGATACCCAATATTGTAGTCCTGCTCCATTCGGTCTTGAAGATCCTCGGCCTATAAAACAGAAGTTAATTAGAAAAACAAAGAGTTCCCACATCAATAGTTGGTTAATGGTTTAATGCTTGGATGCCAGACTTACAGCATCATCATCAAGGTCATCTTCGTCTTCTGGAATGTGGGGTGTATTAAAGAACGTGAAGAAACTCGGACAATCCTCGATTTTGGTGATGGGTTTGGCATTCTTGGATCCCTTTTTAGGTTTCTTCTTTAGAATCTTCTTGGTCAAGCATTTTCCAGAATGCCATTCGATTTCCGTCCTATAAAAGTGCAACCAACAAATCATAAAAGACCAAGAAGGAACTGAACAACCCTGAAAAGGATCCAGTGAGAAGACATGTGCAGTTTACCCAATCGCTTTCTCCAGAACAGGATCTTCATCATCCTCAATTACATGATATGTTTTAGTCAGCACGGAATTCTTGAAGTATGGGTTGGGATCAAAGTGAAACTCCAGCTTGAAACCCACAGGATCCTCAAGCCTAATACTTTTGATGTCTCTAAGAAACTTAAGAGCTGCCTCGTCGCGTTCTGTTATCTGTTCAACACAATCAAAATCAACTTTCCAAAAATGCAACTCAACCATCTGTAATTACATAATGTAGCCAACAAACTTATCAATATCTCCTGTCAAAGAGTTACCTCCTCAGCTAACACTTCATTGTTTTTCATTGCAGTGAGCCAGAAGTCGGGTACTCCTGATCCTGCGGTGAAAATATCATCAGTCAAGGAGAAGTTCTGCCATGGCATCAAAATACATTCTCTTATGGAAAGTCACCTCCAACAGCTTTATCAGCTTCTTGATCCCCTGAAGCTTCAGATGAGGCCCCATCAACTTCTTTTATACCATTTATAATCTCGTATCTCTAACAGAACCAAAGAATATGTTGAATCAGTTACGCATGCTAACTTAAGAACCTCAATGATAATGATTAAGAAAAAGCATTATTCGAGAAACCTGAGTATAAAGTGGTTCATAAAGCTTCTGATACTTCGCCTCCAATGCCCTCCTCTCCTCAAAGAACTTCGCCTCCAGTTCATCATGTTGGCCCTGTTAATGGTGATGCACATATATATACTTTCATCTCATAAACGAAAGGAGACAGGTACAGATACTTACTATTTAACCATCAAACCAATTCAATAAATAGCTACTGAACCATCTAAAGCTATTGCAAAACAAAGCACTACCTGAATCTCTTTCAGATACTCCACGCGTTTCCTGACTCTCGGAGGAAGCTCTTCTATGATGTTTGAGTGCTGCCCAGCCAAGTTCTGTAACTTATTCTGCACCCAAAAAAAAAAACCCACCCATCAATTAGAATCCTGTATTTTGCTTCAAAGTTCCCAACTTTCTAGACTACTGATTGTAAACATGATCAATAGCCTCATCTTAAATTTACTCTACTACTGCAAAACATCCCAATCTTACTATAACGCGTTAAATTCATCACATACCTTAAGTGCATTTACAAGGTCGGCTCGATCCTCTGCACTAAGAGCTGAAAATGGGCAATCAAACAAAAAAGGATCACATAAATAATTCGATCCCAATCCATTTTCTCCAATCGCAAAACTAAACAATCAAATGAATTCGTAGAACAGAATCCTGAAACGATTCCACACTCCAGCAACACAAACTCATCAAATAACTATCCCACGTGATCAGGGTTCGGTAAACGTACATTCTGCCTCTTCTCTCTCGCTCTCGATTTACCGACCATGAATATACCAATCTAAATCTCCTAGAACGATGATATAATATAATACACGGCGCCGGAGAGGGTTTGGGGGAAGAGGGCATAGTGAGAGTACCGGCGGCAGCTGCGGGCAGGGAGGAGTCGAGATCGGAGACGCGCAAGGAATCCTTACTCATGTTGTGAGATTTTCGTTTGAATGATGATGGAGCAAGGGACGGAGGAGAGAGCTTGGGAAACAGGAAAATGGAGAGTGGAAGATCCGAGAAAACGAGGGAAATTTCTCTTTTGCCGCGGTGGCCAGGCAGGGAGTGATGAGCCAGGTGAGCTGCGCGCGTTTGGAAAGAAAGTGTGAGAAAGGGAAAGAAGAAACGCCAATTATAGCGCTAGTACTGCTAATCATGTCACTTAACCAATACGTCTATGTATTATCTTATGATTTTAAACTAACACATCCGTTACTTCATCCATGATTGTAAAATCATATATTATCACCTGGGTTAATTGCATGGTTGGTCACTGAAATTACAAAAAACGTTCAAGTTTGGTCACTCGAAATATTTAAATCCATTGGTGGTACTTCAGTTTACTAAAACCGTTCACGTTTGGTCACTCTCCGTCCAACTCCGTTAACTTTTGCTTATGTGGCAGTCAACTCTAAAAGTTGACCGTTAAATGTGTGACGTGGCAATTAAAAATAATTAAATAAATAAAATTTAATTTTTTAAAATTTCCACCTCATTTTTAACTATTAAATTTTTTTATAAATTATTAAAATAGAACCCTTCTAAAATTTCCACCTCACGGAGTTGGACGGAGAGTGACCAAACGTGAACGGTTTTAGTAAACTGAAGTACCACCAATGGATTTAAATATTTCGAGTGACCAAACTTGAACGTTTTTTGTAATCTCAGTGACCAACCATGCAATTAACCCATTATCACCTAGAAGTGGCAATTGGATCGGATTCGTGGATTCGTAGATTGGATTGGTGGATCCATGGATCAAATCAGTGGCGGATCCAGAAATTCTACGCAGGGGTGTTCTCTATAAAATTTAAATTAAATTAAATATTAGAATTGAAATAAATAATTATTTAATTTGAAAATATCTAACTAATAAAAGTTACATTAAAAGTTCAGACGTACTCTAACTCTTTCTCCTCCAGTGGAAAAAAAGTGCTCCGAGATTTTAAGAGCGAGGAAAGCAAAGGCGATTAGGGTTTGCGTAGGTCGGCGATCGCCGACTTGGTCTCATGGCGGCTGCTGCGCCGTCGGCCGCCTCCACCATTGGAGGAGAGCCCAAACCCCCCGACCCCACTGCGGGGATCCGTCGACCGTCGGAGGTCTCCTCCTCGCCGGACGGCAAAAAAGCTCAGGAGGAACAACACCCCAGGAAAAAAGTAAGGCCTCTGTCTTTTACCGAAGGCTCATGCCCTATGGACGAGGTTATTGTTGAAAATATCACCCATGAGGAACAGCAAGAAGCGCAGCCAACTTTGAGTCCCAGAACCATGGAAACCGAGACTCAACCTAATATGGAAAAGGAAACACCAGCCCCACCCACGAAACCATCTGCATGGGGAGAAGGGAGGAAGAAACTTTTCAGTGAAGCAGTGAAGGAGGTGGAGTGGTATGTTGCCGAGTCTGACTCGGAGGATATAGCTGAAGCGATACGGGAGGAGGACAATGAGGATGAGGACCTGGAAGATGAGAATCCCTTATGCCCAACTATTTCCTTCTCTTCGTTCGAGTGGCACAAGTACAGGAGAGAATGGAGATCTGCGATTGTTGTTAAAGTCTTGGGACGCTCCTTCCCCTACCCGGTTATAGCGCGACGTTTGAATATGCTGTGGGCACGAACGGGTATAATCCAGGTTACGAATCGCGGGCATGGATATTATTTTGTGAGATTCACTACGAAAGCAGACTATGAGCATGCCCTCACGGGAGGCCCATGGATGATCGGCGATCACTACATTACAGCTGTTCCGTGGAGGAAGGGCTTCAACCCCAGGGCTCATTCCATTACCTCGACTTTGGTTTGGCTCCAGCTGCCGGACTTGCCAATCGAATTGTACCACCCTGAGGCAGTCCTGCGCATTGCGAGTCGAGCGGGAAGACCTATACGCTTAGACCGGGCAACTGAAACAGGTGCAAGGGCGAAGTTTGCCCGAGTCTGTGTGGAAGTCGATCTGACCAAGCCGTTGCTATCAAAATTCAAAGTAGCGGGGATCGAGTATGAGATTAAGTATGAGGGACTGTATAATGTTTGCTTCCAGTGCGGACGGTATGGGCATAGCCAGGCCAGTTGCCCGAATAACCATTCTGATAGGTCCCAAGAAGAGGCGGGAACTAGTAACGACTCTACCCATACACGACATGAGGAACAATATGGTGACTGGATGATAGCTAAGCGTAGAGACCGAAGACCCTACCCCAAGAAGACTCAAGTGGACGGGTCACGGGAGACTTCTTCGTCCCAACGCCCACCACAAGCCCAGGTCGCAGGCTCTAGATTTGCTGCGCTAATGGAGGAGGAGGAGGAAGGTGTGGATAACCAATCTGTGAACCGCCACTTAAGATCACAAGACACCCAAGCTATGCGTAAGCCAGAACAGCCCCCACAACGCCAAGTGTGGAGGGAAAAGAATGCCACCCATGCTGGCCCGAAAAAGATATCCAAGAACACGATGAGCAACCATAGGCCTGAAACACAAGTAGATGTCGCCATGCAAAACCATGCACATGACGTGACACGTACTGAGCCTCGAGAATCAGGGGACAGTGGGAAGGACAAGACTAATATCGAGGAAATAAGCAACAGCCTGCAATGTGATACTAGGGAGGAAATTTCCAGTCGATCCAATGTACCCCCCTCACCCATGGAAGCCTCTGACCATCCCCAACGGTCGGCGAAGCCACCTGAACCGCCCTCGGACAGTGGCCAACAGCACAGCCTTTCGCCGCCGGTAGGGGCAAATAAGAGCATGAACGCAGTGGAGGTCCTGCCTCCAGCTGACCAAACAAAAGCGAGTAGCCAAGTAGAGAGCCCTAATGGGGGTTCCCTAGCCGCAATGTCCCAACCAGCCCTATGATAGATACACGGATCTTTGTGTGTAATTGTTTAGGGGCAGGAAGTGACCGTTTTGTACGAGTTTTCAAGGAGTATAAACGGAAACACAACCCGAGCATTGTAGTCATTGTAGAACCAAGAATCAGTGGGGCACGTGCTCGCGAAATCATAGGCAAGATGGGGATGGAGGAAGACCTGGTTGTTGATGCTGTGGGCTTTTCAGGTGAGATATGGTTGTTATGGAATTCCTCTGTTATCACAATTGACGAGAAAGACAGGTCGTCCCAACACCTGCACGTTTCAGTGGAACAGGGATCTACGAAATGGTACTTCACTGCGGTGTATGGGACCCCGACTCTTATCCAACGTCGGTCACTATGGACATCTCTGAAGAATATTGCGGAAGACATGACGGACCCTTGGCTTGTAGCTGGGGATTTTAACTAGATCCTTCATGCCACGGAGAAGTCAGGTGGAGCCCCGTTTGACGCAAGCAGGGTTAGAGACTTCCAAGAGTGTGTTCTGGACGCGGGGCTGATCGACCTTGGGTATTCGGGGCCACCTTATACGTGGTTCCATGCAGGCACAAAGGAACGTCTGGATAGAGGAATGGGGAACAATGCCTGGCAGTCCGTGTTTCCTGAGAGTTCGGTGCAGCACTTACCAAAGATCAAATCCGATCACCGGCCACTGCTTTTACACACTGCCGCATCTCACCAGCTGGCGGGGCCGAAACCATTCCGATTTCTAGCGGCCTGGTTACTCCACGACGAATTCGCAGAAATGGCGGAGCTGGCCTGGTCGCAAGGAACAGATCTCAGAAGCTCCATTGACGCGTTCACAACGGCAGCAAAGTAGTGGAACCAAAACACATTCGGGCACATTATTAAAAAGAAAAACTCTTTGGTAGTCAAGATTGAGGGATTGGAAATGGCTGGGGGAGGCGACTCCGATTCCCCTCTTTTGAAGCAATACCGCCAAGATCTTGAAGAACTTCTCCTCCAAGAACAGATTTTATGGTGCCAAAAATCGAGGCTTGACTGGCTCGCACAGGGGGACAAGAACACCAAGTACTTCCATGCCTGCACGGTCCAGCGAAGAAGGAAGAATCGGATCACTATGTTGAAGAACGAGGCTGGAGAATGGGTGGAAGATGACCAGCTACTACAGGATATGGCAAAAAACTTCTTCCAACTCTTGTATACTGATGAGCCGGGGCACCTCGAGAACCTGCCGGCTCTATTCCCCACCGGGACAACGGATCTTTGGGAGAGTCTTTCGGGGGCTTTCACGGAAGAAGAAGTACGAAGGGCAGTCATGGGAATGGGTACTCTCAAGGCTCCAGGAACGGACGGCCTGCATCCGATGTTCTTCCAAAAGTTTTGGCCAATGGTGGGAGGACAGGTAACTCAATTTGCCCAAGATTGCTGGAATGATCCGACGAAGATTAAAATGGTCAACCAAACCATCCTGGTGCTTATTCCCAAAGTGCACCGCCCGACCCTGATAGAGCAGTACCGACCAATCAGCCTGTGCAATGTAACGTACAAGATCATAACCAAATGTATGGCGGAGCGGCTGAAGTCCTGGATGCCCAGACTGGTGGATGAAACCCAAACAAGCTTCGTCCCTGGGCGCCATATTACTGACAACGTTTGTGTTTTGCAAGAAGTGGTACACTCGATGTGAGCCAAAACGGGGCGCAAGGGGTGGATGATCCTCAAAATTGATCTGGCTAAGGCTTACGACCGCATCAAATGGCCGTTTGTGAAGAACACACTAGAGGCAGTAGGACTCCCGGAGGATTTCGTTGCTCTGGCAATGCAGTGCATTACCTCGGCTAATATGAGTATTCAGTGGAATGGTGGGCTCTCTGATAGCTTCTCGCCATCGAGAGGACTGCGACAGGGCTGCCCGCTCTCACCATATTTGTTCACCCTATGTATGGAACGTCTAAGTCATCTAGTGAAGTCAGCAGTAGCGACAGGCGAGTGGAGAACAGTCAGGATTTCGGCAGATGGGCCAGCATTGTCACACTTATTTTTTGCAGATGATCTGATCCTGTTTGGCGAAGCATCCATGCAGCAGGTAGCGACCATTATGAAGTGCCTGGATGACTTCAGTGTTGCCTCTGGACAACAAGTCAGTAAGCCGAAATCCCGGGTCTTTTTCTCGAAAAATGTCACAGCTGCAAAGGGGGCAGAAATTTCCTCGGCTTTGGGGATCCCGGAAACGAAGAATTTGGGCCGGTATCTCGGCGTCCCAGTGATACATGAACGGGTGTCGCAGGCTACTTTTGTTGATCTTGTGGATAAAATTGACTCTCGCCTTGCAGGTGGGAAATGTAAGACTCTTTCTCTGGCAGGACGCATAACTCTTGCTCAGTCGGTACTATCCTCGCTGCCATCATACATCATGCAAACTACTTTCCTTCCCGCGAGTGTGAGGGACTATATTGACAAGAAAATCCGGACGTTTATATGGGGAAGCTCGGAGGGAGGCAGGAAGATCCATCTGATTGATTGGGATACGATTTGTCGCCCGAAATATGAAGGGGGTCTCGGGCTTCGATGTGCGACCAGGGTGAATGAAGCCTTTATGCTCAAAATAGCTTGGCGGCTGATATCAGAACCCGAGAGCTTATGGGCTAAAGTTGTTCGGGCAAAATACCTTCGACGAACCGAGGAGGGGTGGCAGCCGAGAACCCAAGGACGCCTATCAAATCTGTGGCGTGGCGTCCTCCGGGTCCTACACTTGTTGCCTGACGCAACTATGTGGAATATAAAGAACGGAAGAACCACCCGGTTTTGGACGGATCGGTGGCTTCAGGACGGTCTGGTCCTAGCAGATTTGGCTATGAATCTCCCACAAGAGGCACTAACACTGACGGTAGCAAAGATGGTTCTTAACGGTCAGTGGAACCTGCAGTACTTACGGGTGTTCTTGCAGGAGGAACTGGTCAGTCGCATTCAGCTCCACCCAGTCCCGAATGAAGAAGGTGAGGATGTGGCAGTCTGGCGGTTAACTCCAGATGGTTGTTTTTCGCTGAAGTCAGCCTATTCTTTGACGGAGGTTGAGGAGAACCCAGGCGGCTCACACCCTATGTGGAGGACGTTATGGCGACTCCCTGCAACTCAGCGGATTAGAGCTTTCTTCTGGCTTGTAGCGCACCAGAGGCTGCTGACTAATTATGAAAGGCGACGGAGACACTTAACCACGGTGGCTACTTGTCAAATCTGTGGAGGAGACGAGGAGACGACTTTGCACGTCATTCGCGACTGCCCCTATGCTCGTGCTGCCTGGGCGGAGTTCCTACAAGAGGAGCCTGATGAAGCCTTCTTTCAAGATGACCTGAGCAGATGGATCTTGCATTACCTTGCTGGCCGCAGCCTGCACGTGGCACCTACCAGATTTGCAGTGATGTGTTAGTCTCTTTGGAAGAACAGGAACAAGCTGGTGTTTGAAAAGGAGCTCGAGCCGACAAACTCACTTACCTGCAGAGTGATGACTATGGAGAAACAGATTGAGGAGGCGGAGGCTAAGGCTGCCCGGATTTTCGCGGGAAGCCAAGCGACCACCTGGCGGCTCATTTCTTGGACGCCACCCCCGACAGGTTGGGTTTGCATTAATACATATGGCTCGGTGGTTAGTGGGAACGCGGTAGCGGGAGGGGTTATCAGACGAGAGGACGGCCGTATGCTGAGAGCATTCTCGAGGAATTTGGGAGAAGGATCAATTACTATGGCAGAGTTGGCGGGCATAGCTTTTGGATTGCAAACAGCTTGGGAAATGGGGTTTCGGCAGGTACAAGTTCAAACCGATTCCCTCTCATCTATTCATCTTATTGGAAGTGCAGGGGAGCGGCATCCCCACTCGGCTTGGATCTCGGAAATACGTCGACTTCAGTCTCTCGACTGGCAGGTAGAAATTATTCATGTGTACCGGGAAGGAAACGTCGTGGCTGACTACCTCGCCTCTCTTGGACATGGACGTCCGCCTGGTGATCACTTTGTGGATGCTCCTAGTCCGCTCTTGAACTACTGGCTGTATTTTGACTGTATTGGAGTTCTTACTCCTCGTTTAGTGAACATTAATTGAAGGTTGGGGTGCCCTTAGCACCCCGTTTCCCCACCAAAAAAAAAAAAAGTTCAGACGTGTTTCGTGAAATGGTAAAATGCATTCGGTGTTTATACTGCTCAACAAATATCTCTCGACATATCCTACTAGACAAGGGTGTCCCGTAATTGAGTTTAATCGTTAGGTTTTGAAAATAATTTAAGACAAGAACAACATTTTACTATTATATTTGTATCTAAAACACAATAACAAATGAGTTGTAGTGTAATTGAAAATATATTAACTAACGTGTTTCCAAATTTTAGGGGTGTCCCGGACATGCATGTATCCGCCACTAGATCAAATGGATTGGATCCAATGGATTGGTGGATTCATGGATTGGATAAAATGGATTGGTGGATTGATCCATGAATCCAAATGATATCCAAAGCTTGGACCAAAATGTAAAATTTGAAAAGCTTTGGTAATAAAATGTTATAATGAAAAAATTTAGGTACCAAAATGTAATTTTCCAATGTAATTTTTCGTATAAAATATAAATTTTAGGTATCAAAATGTAAAATATAAAAATATAGGTACCAAATTGTAATTTGTCATTTGGATCCATGGATTGATCCATGAATCCACCAATCCAATTGGATTTGGATCAAATGGATTGGATTTAAATGGATTGGATTAGGTGGATAATTTGGTGGATGGATTGGATTGGATTCATGGATTTGGATCTTAATTGCCACCTCTATTATCACCGGTATGACCGACAAAACTTCCTATTAAAGTCTACACAGCTAAACAATATGAAATGGTGGAACCACAATTAAACAACAATTTACTTATCTAGTACAACCTTCGATACGATTTTACAATCCTTTCCTATAATTGAATGTGACGTTCTGTGTGCTACGAATTCGATTATGGGGAAAAAGGGCACATGAAACGTTCAAAATTCTCCTTGTTTCTCACATTTTAGTTTCTACAAGCATTTGGATTTTGGAAGCAAGAATGGAACCGAAAACGAGAATTGAGAAGAGGGTTGCTTGCAAGCAACAACAAGGGACTATGCTCTATCCATATTCCATAAGATATCAGTTTAGCAATGGTCTAAACGCTAAAGGAAGCTCTTCGATAGAAAACCTAGTCTCTCCCTTGTGTTCATGAAGAGCCTAGCTTTGCTCTCAATGATTCAATGACAGCAGAAAAATCGTCATCACTAAGTCCACGAGCTTTTGCCACCTTATACAGCTCATTAGCAGCTGCTGCAATTGGTGTTGGCTGTGAAACAGATTCTGCTAGACCCAAAGCAAGCCTCATGTCCTGAAAAGGTAACAACAAAACCACCATCACCACCAAAGCTTCCATCTTTATTACTTTAAGTCAAGGTCTCGTGTAAATTTCCGATTAATCTGCAGACCTTCTGCTGATGTTTTAGTGGGAAAGCTGTAGGATAGGCGGATTTGATCATCGATGGTCCTTTCATCGAGTACATTGGAGCGCTTATGGCGCCTTGTGACAGTACCTCGACTAACACGTTTGGGTCGAGCCCTACTTTCTCGCTCAACAGCAGTCCTTCAGCGAGAGTAGCCATCATACTGCACAAAACACATCGAACAAATAAAAATGTAGTTTGTGTATATTGTTAGAGCAAGGAAGAGCCAGAATGTGAACAACGATGATCAAGCAAGGAAATGAGTTATATACACCTTCCCATCATCATGTTGACTACAAGTTTCATAGCAGCTCCATTTCCAACATCGCCAAGGTAGAATCTCGACTGTGAGAAAAAATGATTAAGTTAAAGTGACATCATACGCTGAATCCGAATGAAGAGGTTGAAACCGATGGAGTAGCAAAGTACCTTCCCCATTATGTCCAAGAAAGGAGACGCCAAGTCATAGAGAGGTTTGTCACCTGAATAGTGGAAGCTACATATACTTCAGATTCCACTAGGATAGGTTTTACGACCATATAGAGGTGTTACTTCATACCGGCAGTGAGAAAGATCAGTTGGCCATCTTCTGCCGGCTTTTTCGAACCAGAGACAGGAGCCTACATAGGAACTATAGCATAAGGTTTGAATGTACTTTCGTAATCTGATGATGATGTCACTTTAAAGCAACTATTGTTGACATATTTGTCTCACCTCCAAAAATGATGCACCGGTAGACTTGATACGTTGGTTGATCAATTTAGAAGTCCCACCATCTACAGTTGAGACATCTACATAACTGGCAGTAAAATTCATGAACATCAGAATCAACACACACACACACACACAAAACCCACATAGTCTGAAGGATTGTGGAAAAAAGTACCCTTTTCCTGGACCGATGCCATTTGCTGCCCCATGTTCTCCACAAGCAACCTCGAACTGATACGAAACCAGAGTATTATATGGTGGCATCTAAATTCCAATGGGCCATAATAAGCAAGCGACTAAATCCGGAAAAAGAAAAGAAGGCATACTCACTGCACTATCAGGATCAGCAAGCATAGCAAATGTCACATCACATTCAGCAGCTACTTCCTCAGGAGAAGGTTTATATCTGCCGTACATAAAACAATCCGATGTGCAAAAAAATTGCTTCCAAGTGCAAGTGGCAGAATGGACCTAAATGCATGTATATACATAACAACAATGGTGTGTGTAGACATCTTATTGCTAAACCATTCATAAAATGGAAGAGTTCAGTACAAGAATGGCTACACAATATATTTAGTGAATTCCCAGTTGAGATTGCTAGACACAAAGCGACATACAGCAGCAAATTTACTTACTTTGCACCTAAGCTTATCAAAGGGTCACATTTGCTCTTCGTCCTATTCCACACAGTTACATCACACCTGCAAAGGATCACCAATTCTTTGGTTACTATCCCAAAATCGACTTCATAACAGAAGGTCAATAAACTGTCTAAGCCGTCTCTCCCAGCATTGAAACTGACAAAACCAGCTGACGAAGTTCATTAGTAACACAATTTCGGATTCTAAAAACAGCATCAGAATGCTAGATCTCTCGGTGAAAGATTCTTTTGGAGAAGTTCAGGAAAGGTGAACCGTCACTTACCCAGCTTTTAAAAGATTTTGCGCCATTGGAGACCCCATAATTCCCAGACCCAGAAATCCAACACTAGTTGATGAACCATCTGCAACAAATTTGAAGCAAAATGTAGCTAAGTAGTAATCATGCTTAAAGCCTTATCCATCCAGAATCGCCACAGGAGTACAAAAACTGTAGAAGTGTACTCAAGTCAACTGCATTCCATCAATCAGGCATACCATCATCCCAATTTTAGAATGTTTAAACTTCAAAGTAGAATAACTACAATTCTCAATCAAACTAGTTCGGATTTAGATAACAGCTACCCAGAGAATCCCAAATTTACTGAAAAAAAGGTAATCCAGAAACTTGCAACTCCGTGGAACTTTCCGCTTTCTAGCACCCAATTCCGCATATCAAAGTCGCCCATTTCCAGGTACATATAAGTTCTGTGATCCCTCCTTATGGGTTCAGTCAAGATCGTACCTTTAGCGGAAGCTTGGACGGAGAAAGCCTTGGAACGAACTGTAAGAAGGCGTTTGGCGGGGAAAGCAGAAATGGGTCTCTCGGCGAAATGGATAGGAAGCTGAGTGGAGTAGCTACAGTACTTAGCCATTGTAGTTCTCACCCACAAAGCCATCGCCTTTCACGGCCGCTCTAATATATGGTATGTAGATTGTGGGCCGTGGACTGTCGAGACCAGAGCTCGCACTTCTATGCAGAAAAGTTTTGGTGGTTAGATTGCTTTGGATTCTGGATAACAGACAAGAGGAGAGTGGTGGCGCAGCCGCGCGGATGCGGGGACAAAATGGCGTCAATGGCATTTTCGTTATGGCGCCATATAATAAAGACTTTATTTTTTCTTAAAAACAAACTTCAACAAAATTATGCGTCTTAAGTCTCTTAGAAATCTATCACCATGATCAAATCGACAATTCTTCAATGAAATGCAAGTTGGCTACCTAAAGACCATAGTGACACAACTAACCCCTATGTAGTGATGGCAATGGGGCAGGGCGGGGCGGGTACCTCAATTCCCATGCCCCGCCTGTACGTGGGCAACGGGCCGTGCCGCCCACGGGCTAGCACGACACGGCACGGTTAGAGCACGGCACGAGCACGGGCACGAAATAAATGGGCCAGCCCGGCACGAGCACGAATAATTCACGGGCCGTGCCGGGCCTAAATTTCATGGGCACGGGCACGAGCACGGGCACGGCACGGTATATAAGTGGGCCGTGCTGGGCCTAATATTTTCGAGACTTTATTGAGTATAAGAACAGACACAGCACGAAAATAATATTTATTTGATAGAAAATAAATATAAAAATAATTATAGGTTCAAATATTACAAAACACAAGCAGAAAAATAATTATTTGTTGTTGTTAGAAGTGTCATAAAGATATATACGTAATTACTAACATAAGTAAAAATGGACAAAGAATTAAACAAAGACAAATCACACTCGAAATATTTCCAATTTTCTTTTCCCCCTCATTTGTTACTTTTCTCAAACATTATCGGTTAATACTATCTTCCCCCGTCCAATTTTCACCTTCTTTTTCATTCTCTCTTTTGTTTTCGTTCTTTTCATTAAACACGAATACGAACATGACACGAGCACGAATAGGCACGGCACGATTCGAACCGTGCCCGGGCCTGGGCCGGGCCTAGCAAAGTTGACAAATGGGCTTGCATGGCACGGCACGAAAACTGACGGGCCGTGCCAAGCACGGCACGAAATAAATGGGCCCAAAGCGTGCCCGTGCCGTGCCGGCCCAAGCACGGCCCAGCGCCCATGTACAGCCCCGCCCCACGCTACTACGGGTCGGGGCGGATAAAACCCGCGCGGGTACGGGGCGGGGCGGGTCGACCCACTCTTACATGTTGTTCAAAAAAATACAAGTAAATTTTACTTTTTACAATAAAACGTAGGGAAAAACACTTTAAGAATAAAAAATATTGATAATAGAATGGATAATTGAGCCTAACAAGTTGAAAGATCTACTCTAACTAGTTGAAGAAAAGTCAAAATATGAGAAATATGTTTAGATATTGTAAGAAATTGAGATAAAATGAGTCTAGAACGGGGCGGGGCGAGGCAAGGCGGGTCAGAAGTAGATACCCATGCCCCGCCCCACGCTACTGCGGGTCGGGTAATACCCGCCCCATCGCGGGTCAGGTCGGGTAATACCCGCGGGGCGGGTTGAAATTGCCATCACTGCCCCTATGGCTATGGTTAAAGAACTTCGAGGATTATAACCCAATTTCTCCATGGAGGAACACAATGGTATGCCTGTCAAATGTTCCAAGTACAAAAAAAAAAAAAAACAGACAGACAGATAATGCCTTTTTCTTTTCCTTGACATAGAAGACCCGATTTTTCCCACCCTATCAACCAACTACCCTAGGGAGAAAGGAGGACTGCATCCTCAACATTCCTCTTTACAATCCCATAGAAGTTTCCCACAAATGTTTGCCTGCAACAACACCAAACACAGAGAAAAGCAATCACTCTCTTTTTTCACTTCCTATAAGGATGGTGTCGACCCGCCGCCGTAGAACCTCCACCGCTGCCTCCATATGCCTTCCCACTGCTACCACCACTGCTACTATATCCTCTTCCTCCATCACCGCTTCGTTCGAACCCTTTCCCCACGCCATAGCCAGCTGCCGCCCCATATGGGAAGGCTGAACCACCACCTCCATACATGCCATTGCCATACATCATAAAGTTGTTCAAACCAAATCCATAGCCGTATCCACCATATGCACCATAGAACCCAGCGGCTCCCCCCGCATAGCCTGCTCCATAACCGGCTCCATAACCATTGAAATCGGAATAGCCGCCATAGCCACCAGCAGCAGCACCACCACCAGCGTATGCTCCTCTGCCCATTTTCCCACTGTACCGACCTCCAGAACCATGAACAGGGCCATATCCAATTGCCTCACTGTTGAATCCTCCACCGTAAGACTTCGGGGCGCTACCATAATCACCACCGCCGAATCTTCTAGGTTCGGCCTTCTTTATCTCCACCTGAATAAAAATGGAAACCAGAAGTTGCAGCTTGTGACTAGTTTGAAAAAAGGCAGAGTAGCAGAAAGGGTTAAGAAGCCGACAACATTAGCAGAAATATCAGTTTCAATTAGATTATCAGTTACCTCTTTCCCTCCAAGCTCGTGGTTCCTACCCTCTGAAAAGATCCGTTCGACAGAATCTTCACTGTCGAAGGTGACAAACCCAAATCCCCTTGAGCGTCCAGTTTTATGATCCAACATGATCTGATACTCCGTGATGCCTCCGTAGAATGAGAAGTACTCCTTTAACTCATCTAAGATAAAAATATAAAGATGCAGAGTCAAAGGAGATACACAGCATGCCAGGAATTAATGATGAAACAAAATGATGTGTTCAACTTGGGTACCTTCGGTTAAAGAAGGGGGTAATCCACCTACAAAAATTTTCTTAACTCTCATTCCTTTGAAGTCCATATCCTCCCTTGGAACTGTCTTCTTCACCTCAACCTAACACAAATAAAGCACCAGCAGAGTAAGTACCAAGCAATGACAATTGCAATTCTACTCAAACACAACTACAAAAATGTAAGAATTTGGCGCAACTTACAGATCTGCCATCTACAGTATGATCTCGCTCCAAGACTCTATCGGCAACCACTGGGTCAGAAAATGTTACAAACCCGAACCCACGTGGCCTTCCTGACAGTCTATCCAACATTATCACAGCATCTGTGATTTCTCCAAACTTGGAGAAGTAATTAGTGAAGGTCTCTGGAAAAAAAAGTCAACGCACAGCAGGAGACAACTTAAATACAAAGATGAAAATGAACAACAGAGAGAAACAACTGCAAGCTCAGGCTGAGAGCACAAACATGAAAAAGAAAAGGAAACTGAAAGAGTTCACTCAACATTATCACAAACAAATAAACAATCAAGAGATTTCACAGACACAGGACAACAAGCCTTTGTCGTATCAGATAAGGAATCAGCTTCAATCTTTTACTCTCCTATCTGATAATTACTTAAAAGCCTTAGGTTGTTTGAGGTGATTCTGAAGCAATGTCGTTTAATATAACACAGATACATAGAGGCCGCTACCACAATTTACAATGACAACTGAGTCGTTCATTACAAAATCTGATGTGATCCTTTCATCAAGCCAAACAGCAAACAGGAAAGGAGGGAAAAGGGGAATTTCCAAATCATGACTTCATTGCGCTCGCAGCCAATAAAAATTATGAATCAGCTGCTATCATAACCGGAGTAGATGGAGAAATAAACCGAACAAATTGGCAAGCCATTTACTAGTCTGCATACCTTGCAACAAGATCCTCATCCATCTCAACATTTGAAATCAAAGACTTAAGTAACAGCAACATAATTTCTAGGCCACGTATTATATTAACAGCTACGTATAACGCCAATGTAGGATTTAGGAGACTAATTCACCATAGCAGATCCAGTACTTCTGTATCTTCCATGAACCCTAACACGAGGAAAACCACCATCTTTGTTTAAATCACACAATTGATTAAGCTTGTAAACCACAGATACCACACAAAATTGGCTAACAATATCCAATTCAGTGAAGTTCAAACCAAATCTCCATCAGCTCTAAGGATAAAACCATTCCTAACTAGAACTAACAGTCCAAACATATAGCAAAGGCAAAAAGTTCAATTTTCTAAGTAGCATAATAGATGATACCAACAGGAACCTGTTAAAGTTCAGAACTTCCAAATAAGAACTAAACCAAAGTGAGAAAAAAGGAAAGAATCGAAGTTGGTCATACCTTCAGTGGTATCCCAAGAGAGTCCTCCAACAAAGAGTTTTCTACCAACAATAACAAAAAAAAAAACAACCCACAATTATTTCCTATAAAATCTCTTTCTCTATCCATTTCCACCAGGCGTTGCAGCCTCTTGGAAAAACAAGAACAACAAAAGCCTTCCAAAACTACCAATTCCCTATCTTTCCTTGATTTTTATACATGCATTCTATAACTAAGAAGCTATCTGCTATTGCTAAACCAACCAACTAACTAACCCAGGAGCTGAAGAAGAAGAGGACTGATGACTGTGATTAATCGTCCTCCCACCGTTTCCAGCTCCAGCTTCTTCCTCTTGCCTTTTATCCCGCCTTCCCTGCTGCTGCGGCTGTTGCTCTTGTTGCTGCTGCTGCTGCTGAGGTATCTCTTCATAATCTTCATAGTAATCATGTTCTTCTTCATCGACATTGAAAGCCAGAACATTTCCTTGATCGAAATCCCTTTCATGTTGCGAGTAATCGTAATCCATGCTTAAAAAGAACTCAAAACCACACTCACGATTTCGATTGAAAAAAAAGAAAGAAGAAAAAAAAAAAGAGGGGTAGCCGAGAACCCTAGAACCAGCCAAAAGCAAGAGAAATCGGGTATAGTTCAATCTGCGCAACCAGTTCTATGGTTTTCAGAATGATAGCCCATGACCAATAAAAAAGACTGAAATCTGAGACGGCAAGTAAAAGAGATAGCGACGCCGGCGACTGAAAACGGCGATCTGGAGAAGACGGATTGAGGAGAGAGGAGGGCTTGTTTGTGATGGACTGTATACTCTTTTGTCGATTTGCTTTGTGAGCCTTTTGTTTTTTGCATGAGAAACGGAAAACAAAAGTGGAGATTGGGGAATTAGCCGGATTCGGGTCGGGCGTAATTCCTCCAAATCAGAGTCCCGAATAATCCTTAAGCCCAGCCCACCAGCACCAAATCGAGCCCAGCCCTTCTATTCTATGTAGGGGTGGGCAACGGGACGGGACGGGATACCCGTCCCGTTTGAAACGGGTACCCAGTCCCATTTGGAGAGCAATCTCTATCTCATGTCCCAAACTCGTACTGATAACGGGTACCCATTACCCGTACGGGACGGATAACGGGTACCCATATTACCCGTAAATACCCGTCAATCGAAGCTCTAGAAAACATGGAACCTATCTTCACACTGGTGCCATCGAGTCCTTGCGGCCATGTAATAGAAATGACCACGTTGACCCATGTTCTCTATTGTTGAAACTTGAAACTGAAGTAAGATTCTTGAGCCAAATCCATCGGTATCTTCCTCACAAACACAAGTAAAGGACACAGACAGTAGCTCAAGGAAGAAAACAGTGGATGAGTATGATATAAGAGTAATGGTTAATGGTTGAGACAATTTATGCTATCTCCGGTGCAATTTATTGTATTGTTGATTAGGTTACATAGGTTTTGATTGCTTGTGTCGTGGGATTGGATTTTAGGCTTTTGGATTAATGGGTATAACGGGTACCCGTAATACCCAAACGGGTATTAACGGGTAACTCGCGGGTACCCAAAGTAGCGATTCTTGATCCCAAGTCTCATCCCGTAAAATAAATTACGGGTATTTGGGTACCCATAACCCTCAAAAAACGGGACGGGTACGGGTATACCCAAATACCCGTTTCCCGTTGCCCACCCCTAATTCTATGAGCTCTTCTTTGTCTTCCTTCTCTAGCGACGCCAGAGACACGGAGGCAGTGAGCCGGCGACTGCTGTAGCTGCGGCCTAACCTCCCATTCCTCCTTCATCCCCCATCTCTGTCTTCTCCGGCGAAGACGACGAGCACAACCCAAGAATTTCAGCTCTCTCCGACGAGGGTTTCTCCAGCGGTGTCCACAATCTACCGGGGCGGGATGTGGAGTATAATCAGAGAGGCATTCGACAAAACACTGCTGGTGGCAAAAGCGTATGGCATCCTCCACATCACTAATTCCTACCTCTGTACAGTTGCGCTTGTAAGTTCTCGTCACTAATTCTTGATTCCACTGGCCTTTCACCGTTTTCAGTTGCCCCGATTGATCCCAATCTGATGTCCTTGTGTGTGTTTGTGTTGGGGAAATTGCAGGCTTATGGCCCCAGCATGATTCCGACTATCAACCTCACCGGCGACCTCATCCTCGCCGAGAGAATCTCCCCCCGCATCGGGAAGGTGGGCGTCGGAGACATTGTTATCGTCAGATCGCCGGTGGTCCCCAGGAGGGTAGTGACGAAGCGTGTGGTTGGCATGGAAGGGGATCAAGTCACCTACTTGCTCGACCCACACAACAGCGATGAAGTTCACTCCATTGTGGTAGTAATTCAGTCTCTTTCTGCTCCTCTCCCCTTGATTGCTTGCTTGAATACGAGTGTTCTTTATTTCCAAATGAAAACCTCGTTCATTCTGTGTTTGTTCCTTCCGTTCATTTGTTCATCAGGTTCCGAGGGGCCATGTCTGGATACAGGGAGATAACATATACAATTCGAAAGACTCGAGAGATTTTGGTCCAGTTCCTTATGCACTTGTTGAAGCAAAATTACTTTGGAGGGTATTCCTCACTCCACCTGCTCCCTCTCTCTGTCTCTCTTTGTTTATTTCAGCTCTATGCTTCTTAATAGTAGTGCATAATGGTTAGTTTTATTCCAGTCATTTGTGAGAGGTGCTTCAATTCCTGTCTGCAAGTTTGCGTGTGACTGGAGTAGTGGAATGTAGGACTTTGGAATCCTGGGTTTGGATTGTAGCCATGAATGGGTTTCCATTATTCGATCATCCTGTTTAATCATGTACAGTATTCATTTTGATTTTCTGATTGCTGTTTTGGTTCTAGGTGTGGCCGCCTAAAGATTTTGGTCCAATGCAACACATATCAAGATAGAAGAGGGAAATGAAGGAACCATACATTCACTGCTAGCTCTCTCGTGATGTTATTTGATGGTAGCAACCCTCATTAAAGAATGTGGATTCCCCTTTTCATGGCCTGAATGAGCTAGCTGTAAGGTGGTTGAATGCGGAAGACAGATCGGACCAGAGATCGGTCCTCGATTGTTTAGACTGGGTTCTGGGCTTCTGGCAGAGTAAACGGTGAAAGATCTTCTGACATCAAGAAGAGACGAAGTATGCGGGTTAGCAGCTCGATAGGCTGGCCTGCGGAAGTTGGTTTGTCCTTCTGATCATTTCTGGAGTGGATGTAAGCCTGAGATAGAAATTTTGCTTCTCACCAGTGACTACTCTATCAAACTCGTACATTTTTCTATCAACAACACTATCAAACATCATTCAAAAGATGAAAGACGCTACTGTTCATATGATTACAATGCTACATTGATATGGATAAACTAGAAGCCCCTTTTGTGAAAAGTTCTTCCCATTTTCCTCTATCATCAAGACCTTTGTGCTATGTTACTCCTCCTCATCCTCCTCCTCGTCATCATCCATAAACTCCTCTTCTTCTCCCTCACTTTCTTCTTCTCCTTCATCATCCAATTCTTCCTCGTCGACAATGAATCCACCCAATGTCTCATCATCTTCATCTTCTTCTTTCTCTTCATCCACCTCACTAATCTTCCTCTTCTTCCCTCCTCCTACCTTCTTCTCTTCCCCGTCCCTCTCCTTCTTCCTCTTCTTGTCCTGTGCCCTTGTAGTGTATTTCCCACCTCCTCCATCCTTCTTTCTTCTGTTCGTTGTTGTCTCCGCGCCAATCTCCTTCTCTTCATCCTCGCTCTCTCCTCTCCATTCATCATCCATTCCATTCTTCTTCTTCTTCCTCCTTCCTCTGCGACCACCTTCATTCTCATCCTCGCTCACTCCCTCTGTCTCATCCAAGAACCAATCCCACTCCTTGGCATTTCTAACCCTCCCCTTAGGGTACCTCTCGAATTCCCGCCCAATCACCAACAACCCAAACTCTGCATTTCATAAAGCCCTAATTGTTTACCAACACGAATGGGAATTCCCATTTGAATCAAGGAACATGAGAGATTAAAGGTCAAACCTTTAACAGGATCTACCAGAGAAATGTCGAAGTTTTCTTCATCTTCCGATTCCTTTTCAGTTTCATTTCCGTACCCGGCGTCGCTTTCTATGTCCCTCGCCTCTGCACGGCCGACGGTTCTCAATCTGAACCAAACGGGAGGTTGGGTCGAAATACAGAAGCAATCGCCGGCTACGAGCTGGCCCCTATCGGACTTCTTGAAGAGCTTTTCCTCTCCGTCGGTTCGCACACAGACAGGGTTCTTCCCGATGACGAGAAACGAAACCCTAGGCAGCGGCTGGGAGTGGTTACCTCCTGCGGGCGCGGGGTATTCTCCTCCTCTGTTGGCCCCGTCGAGTCGGAACTCAATGTGGCGGCGGGAGACGGTTCTGTCGTAGGTTTCGAAACCGTTGCCTCTGCCGAGGACGGTGGCGGAGCCGCGGTGGAGCTCGGTTTTGGAGCCGTCGTCGCCTTCGATCTCCATGGAAGCGATGGAGGGAAAGATGGGGAAATGATTTTTTTGGCGGTGAAAATTGGCAGGGAAAGGCGATACTGAATATAAATGGAGCAAACGGCACCGTTTAACTATCCTCTTAAAGACTTTGATGGCCGGCGTGTGCTAATGGGCCGAGTCATTTCATTGGGCTTGACTTTGCAGTTTTTAATTTGATAAAATTTTGGAATCACAAAATTTATAGGATTTTGCTACGGTGACATGCATGTCACCGTGACATGGACTTTTCGGTCGACCGAATACAACTTGCGGTCGACCGAATGGGCTAATTCACGTATGTTGGGTTCCTGAAGGCGGTCGACCTCTAACAAAATGCGGTCGACCGTTTTGGTGGTCTAACAGAGCAACAGGTCGACCCAAATATCTCATAGGCCGACCCTTGTGCACCTAACAGGTCGACCGCATTGGGAAGAGGTCGACCGCCTTCAGACCGTATCCGTATTGGATATGGATTCCAACACCAGAAAGGTTCCACAATTGGACAAGGAAACGAATTGGGTCGACCCATTCACGTCCAAATCTCTATAAATACGAATATGAGTCCCCTTAAACGCCACCAAGTCTGAATTAGGTTTTTTTCCGACTTAGAGCCTTTGTGAAGAAGATCGTTCGCGGTTGCTGTTGTACGTGTTGGAAGTGGTCGACCAGGTCTAAGGTGAGGTTGACCTAAAGTAGCATTCACCGTCTTCTTTTTTAATGCGTGATTTCCACCGGCTAACTTGATATATTGTTGGGTGCAGAATCCAATTCGGTCGACCGCGACGTCCACCAGGTCGACCTGACGAGACAATTCTTCGTATTTGAATTTAGGCCACAACACTTGGACTTCTGTACTTGCGAGGTAACCCAATCGGTCGACCTAATGAGTTTCAAGGTCGACCGTATATGTTTTTTTTTGGTTATTCAACCTGAATGTCGACTTTGGCTTTGTTTGTATCACTATGTTGTGCTTGAAAAGGTCGACCGCGCCAGATATCTGGTCGACCTGTCATTTTTTCGGTTTAATTTTGAACTTACTATATGTTTGTAATTGTTATTTTCATGCTGGATAGGTCGACCTAGGAATAACCGAGGTCGACCTGACGAGTTGTGGTAGTCACTATTTGTCTTACAGGTCGACCTAATACTTTGTCAGGTCGACCACGTCTTTGTTTTTTGGTCAATTATAGAAATTTGTACTTGAATTATGATTTTAATTTTTCTTTAAATTGTTTAGACGATGACGCATGATGAGAAACTGCATCAAGATTTGGGTGAAATCATGAAATTGTTGAAAGCCACACAAGAGAAGCTGGTGGTGTGTCAAACACAAGTCGAGCATTTGTCAGTTCGACTGACAGATATGACTGGGATGATGCATGACGGGTTTGAGAGGCTAGAAGGTGCTATCAAAGATATAAGTGCAGAACGAATGGAGAATGGCGGAAGAAATGGTAAAGGAAAGAAATTTGACTTTGGTAAAGAGGAGGAAGACCATGATGACTCTGAAAATTGCTACCAGAGCATAGACGATTTATTGAAAGAGCACATTTTAAAGGTATCCAAGTATATTCATATGTGATTGAAGATATTAGTATTACTATCATTAGTGCTAATCTGTTTTGTTTATATGTTTGACAGAGTGAAACAAAGAATGGCCGCAAGGGTTCCTCTCCTAATTACAAGAGACCGCGATATGAAAGTGACTCCTACACCACTCCACAGAAGGATCAATTTGTAAGAAAGGGATTATTTAGTGATGATAGCGATGAAGATGAATCTAAGAGTCCTTTCGAAAAGCACGGGGTAAGTTTACGTTACATTTTCATCTATAATGTGTGTTTGTGTTCATATGTTACTTTAATTTTAACTATGATTTGTAGGTCATGAAAGTGGAGGGTCTAGAAGGATTCACCAAAAATCTTCAAAATCCAGTTGAAGACTTGTATTATGTTGTTACTAAAGAGAAGGTTGGGGACAAGAATTGGGACAAGTAAGACGTTTTTCTAGTACGTGTGGTCGACCGGTTGTCCAATACGGTCGACCGTGTGTCCAATAAGGTCGACCTTGACTGTGTACAGGTCGACCTGTACGTTGCAAAAAAACAATTGACATTTCTGTTATCTTGTTTTTTGCAGTTTGATGATTGTGGACTTTTTTTCTGAAAACCTGCAACGACATTATTTGAGTTCGGTCATTAGCGAGAAAAGCTGGGTTTGCTCATCAGTAAGTACTATACTACTACGACTTTCGTATGAATTGTGCACTATTTATGTTACGATTTACGATGATTTTGTGTTTTATTGTTGGATGGTAGGTAGTGGATTTGTGTGCAAGGGCACTAACAATGTCTGAAAAACATGATGTGAAAGAGCCAAATGTGTGGTATTTTCCAAATATGTTTTTGGTAAGAGCCGTAATGTCAAATTATTTGTCATAACCTAGTTATTTATACTGTACCATGTCAATTCATCTCAACTAAAACATGGTGCAGAAAATGGTACGCGCTAACATGAAGACCAGACAAATTCGTAACAAGTTGATGAATGATGGCGTGGACTTTATGCCGAATGTCAGTGCATGCCAGAAGGTTAGTCTAGTCAATGTCCCTATATCATTAAATTTCGAAAGTGCATTTGTTTGTATTCGCTGTTTATAACATATAGCGAGTGTTTCGTTGCTAGATATTTATGCCAGTTCTTGAAGATGAAGCACGTCATTGGTTTCTGTATCTCGTCAATGTCCAGCAAAAAACTGCATTTTTGCTTGACAGTCTACCTTCAACTAGTGAGGCGAATCGTAGGCGTAAATCAGAACTATGCAAGAAATTGGTAAGTGTTTCCTATAATTTTCTGACTACTAAGCGTTACGTAGTATGCTAGAAGTTTAAAATATTCGTTATTTGTGTGTAGTTGTCCACTTTGGATGATATTTTGAAACCAGAGCGCACGAGCAATGTAGTAGTACCAAATTTTGGAAATTTCAATTTTGATGAGCTACCAGTTCAACGACAAAGGAATAGTACTGAGTGTGGTGTGCACGTCATGCAGTGGATGCGCTATGGATCCAAGGATCTTGATAGAGTGGTGAGTATATCGTCAAACAAATAACTAGTATAATTTACACTTTTTTAGTTGTAACGAAATCTTACATGGCATAATGCAGATAGGAGAAGAACACAAATTACCGGCGCGAAAGGAGATTCTATGGTATCTGGCTACACATTTTGAAAACCGTGCACGAGAAAATCTTTTCAAGCATGTAGTAGATGAATGCATGGAACGAGGCAAAGAGAGACAGAGTTCCAAGAAAAAAGCAAAGAAATGAAGTCGTTAAGTTACAATGTTGCATTATTTGGACCATACATTTATTTTGTATTTGCGAGATCGTTTCATTATGGATTTTGAATGTTTATCGTTTATTAGATTTGTTATACAATTATGTATGTGACTGAATGTACGATTTCAATCGTCTAGAACAAGTGGTCGACCACATACTCAAAGCGGGCATACCCAAAGGCAGAGCACAGGTCGACCTCGTGAAGCTTAAGGTCGACCTATGATACCGTAGGAAAGTCAAAAACCATGTAAAATAAGTATGGATACTCGTCTGTTTGGCCTTAAGAAAAGTACGGTCGACCTCTCTTGTCAAGAGGTCGACCTGTGCTCACATTTATAAGCATTGGTCGACCATTTCTGTAAAGAGGTCGACCTGTTTCACATTTACAAACAACGGTCGACCATTTGTGTAAAGAGGTCGACCTGTTTCACATTTACCCAAGACGGTCGACCATTTGTGCAAAGAGGTCGACCATGATGATTCCTGTCCTTGTACAATTAGGATTTGGTGTACTTGTCCTTGTCGAATTATGATTTTATATATCTTGAACCAATTGGATAAGGAATTCGTCCAAATTATCTATAAATAGATGGGAGTCTTCAGACATTAATCGTACCACGAAATCTTACAATTTGTTGGAGTGAAGTTATAATCTCATCGCTCTTATTGTGATCGGGTGTTGGTGGCGGTTTATTTTTATTCCGGTAGACCGTAACAATAAGTGGTCGACCTCGTTGCTAAGGTATGCCTCGTATATACTTGTTAATGGTTCTATGTGGCTAAATTTTTCCCACCATCCGGTCGACCACACACAACTTCCGGTCGACCGTTCTTTCGTAGTTATATGATTAGGTCGACCTTTCAGTAAATTAGGTCGACCTTATGTTCGTTATTTAGTAATAAGGTCGACCGTCCTGTTCATTGAGGTCGACCTGACGAGAGCTAATTGTGTATGTTTTGACATTAAGTTCGTATTCCGATCGTTGCATGTTTGTTATTTAGTAATAAGGTCGACCGTCCTGTTCATTGAGGTCGACCTGACGAGAGCTAATTGTGTATGTTTTGACATTAAGTTCGTATTCCGATCGTTGCATGTTTGTTATTTAGTAATAAGGTCGACCGTCCTGTTCATTGAGGTCGACCTGACGAGAGCTAATTGTGTATGTTTTGACATTAAGTTCGTATTCCGATCGTTGCAGGATGGATAACAGAGATGATACAGACGATAGAGATGATGATGAGGTTAACTTCGATGAGGAACCTAATGATGCTCGAGAAGGAGCTATGGATAATTCAGATGATACAGATAATACCGATGATGAAGTGTTTGGAGATGATTATGAAACCCAGGGTGCAGAAGAAGAATTTATGGATGATGAAGAAGCTACTGAATATGAACAACAAATTCCTTCCATGGAGTTCGAAACATTAGAAGATGCAGAGAAATTTTACGATTCCTATGCTAAAGCGAAAGGATTTAGCGTTCGACGTAGAGATCTTCGGAGGAGTCGTCGAGGAGTAGCAATTGGGAGGACAATGGTATGTTCGAGAGAGGGGACTAGAGATAAGATGCATATAGATAAAGAAGGTCGGATTCGGCAACATCGTAAGATGACAAGACATTCTTGCAAGGCATCGTATACTGTACGATTTGATCGGAATAAGAAAATGTGGGTTGTTTCTAAGTTTGAGAGGAA